TTCCAGCTCAGACTTTTCCTGTCAGTCTTAGAAAATTAGTTGAACTATCACAATGGCATTTCCATTTTCATTTATATCAACTATTTTTAAATTTTCATTTTAATTTTTTATTGACCCATTGATTATGCAGAAGCATATTATTTAACTTCCAGGTATTTGTGAATTTTCTGAAGTTTTTATTGACATGAAATTATCTTTTATTGCTATAATTTGATTTCTGTAAGCTTCGTGGTAACCACAAAACAAAACCTGTAGTAGAGCCACCAAAAATAAAAAGACATCAAAATATACTACTAGAAAAAAATCACTTAACCACAAAAGATGACAATAAGAGAAGAAGAAACCAAGAATCTAGAAAATAACTAGAAAACAAGCAACAAGGTGACACTACGAAGTTTTTACCTATCAGTCATTATCTTGAATGTAAACGGATTAAATTTTCAAATCCAAAGACATGAAGTGGATCAATGTCAAAAAGAAAAAAGACAAAAAAAAAAAAAAGCAAGATCCCTCCACAATAAGCCTGTTTGGAGACCTACTCCTCAGGCTGCTATGGCTGGCGCTGTGCTGGGCTGGAAACCCAGGGCTGCTGTGGTTCTTGCAGAACTGTGGTTTGCCTGAAGGGAGTGGATGCTGAGGCCTGCCTACCAGTGAGAGTTGTTTAGAGCTGGAGCCTGCTGCCCTCAACTGGTGGTGATGTGACCTGCAGGGGTCACATGTTCCTATCTGGCTCTGAGGAATGCCAGAGGTTCAGTTTGCTGGTGGCAGTCTGGAGTCAGGGGCTGTGGGGGTCTGCCTGGTGCTGGATTGTACTGTGGCGGGCCCAGCATTAGAGACCACGACAAAGTCCTACACTTACTTCCCTCTCTTTCCTCGAAGTGGATGGTATCTCTCCTCAGACCATGTTGCCTGGAGATAGCAGAGCGGTGACATTGGTGATGTAAATTGGTTCCTCCTACCCTCTTCAATCCATCTTTCCTTATTACCGTGCTACGAGCAGGTACTGTGATTGCTCACCTTGTTTCCTTGGCTCTTTTGAAGATATTTTCATACTTGGACAGTTGTTCAAATTGACGTATCAGGGGTCGGGAGATGATTGCTAGAGTCCTATTCCATCGTTTTATTCTTCCTTCTCCTTCAGACCCTGCTTTTAGAGATAATAAGAACACATCTTAAAGTGACAAGTGTGTTGATAATTTTACACATATTATTCTGGGTAGGACAGCCTCCATAGGCAAAGTACATACTTGGAGACAGAATTAGCAAGAGCACTGCACTTTGGGGATCCTACTTTTTACTATTTAGTGTATTCTTGCTGCTTGAAATGTGGGTTTGGCAAAGCTGCATTGGCATAATCTGGGAGTTGATTAGACATGCAGGAATATGTTATACCCATTGAATTAGAATCTGCACTTGAAGAAGATTTCAGGTGATATGTAGGTATGTAAAACGTGAGAAGCAATCCTATTTATATATTCACAGGGTCAGAGGTTCAGGTTGTGAACATTTAGAGTGAAGGGTAAGATCTCACCCTACCTCTGTAGAATTCCACTAGATGAATACCCTAGGGGTTGATGTATCCTCTTTTATCATTCAAGGATGAAAAAAGAGAAAACAAATCATACAAAGAGTGAAATAATGTTTTAATGATCAGAGAAAAAGCAGTATACTGGATTTGGAAGAAAAATTGATGTTTAAGTTATTAAGAATAAGGAAAAACGTGTTTGTGTGTGTGTGCTGGCATGTGCAGTTGCCTGTGTGTGTTTCTTCCGCTGAAGCAAGAGAAGAGGAGATGAGCATGGATGAAAATCCAGTAGCATTTTACGGTGTGTCTGTGTTTGTTAGGATTATTCAGTTGAGGGAACATCTTCCCGATGATACTGGTATTGGAAAAGAGTTAGGTGACTGAGCAACCCAGGACGGACTGATAAAGATTTTGAAGATAAACTTTGGAAATGGCAGTAGAATCACGATGCTTGATTTGACTTCTTCCTCAGCATTACTACATTGCAGCCTGTGCAGATGTCTCTGTTTACAACCATTTCCTTTGGATTCAGAGTTCTAAGAGGCAGAGCTCTTGGGGGAAACGGGGTCTAAGGAATGCTTGTAGCCGATCCTCTCTTGTAATCTATAATACTTCTGCTGAGAAGTTGCAGAAATTTTGTGGTATTTGTTGTGGGGGAAATTTAGCAGTTATAACATCAATGTAGAAAATCGTATTCGTAAGTATTTAGTTCTCTAGGAAAGGAGTAAAAAAGGGAGGGGATTACTCCTCAAGCACACAAAACAAACAAGTTGATCCCAGTGGATTTTTTTGCAAAGTTTAAAGACAGTAAGAA